AAGAGATCAGACCTGAAAGGGGGTGCAGACTGGCCAACTCCCTTATCGTGGCGTGGGCACAGGGCCTGGAGGTTGGGCCGGCTCTGGCAGGGGGTTAGGGATTTATCAGCTCTAATGGGACCAGAATCAAAGATCAGCCCGCTCAGGGTCAAGTGTGCACACGTGGGGGGGGGGCGGGGGCGGGACGACGATGACCGTTGAAAGTGTGAGCTGGAGGTGTCTGGGGCTTCTATGGCGTCTGGATAAGATTTGGAGAAAAGCAGAAATGGGATAGGAGTGGGCAGAACTTGACAGGGCCTTTGGACCGAGAACCACAGCAGTCTCCGGGAGGAGATGGGTGCTAGTGCCAGGACTGTGGCAGGGAAGCAGAGGCAGAAGAATGGGCTCCAAGTCCCAGGCACAGAAGATGATGATGCCCAAGGGTAGAGCCAGGTAACAGCTGCCAGTCAGTTTGGGCCTAGAGAACCTAGAGGGGATGTGGCTAGGAGGAACCCAGGCACAAAAACAAAGATGCTTGTCAAAGACTCCCTTGTTCCCTTCAACAAAAATGTTAGGGACACAGAGTCCTTACCACAGCATTCATATCTCCTAACCCAGAAGCTGGCTCTGTCCAGAGCAGAGGAGGTATGTACAGAGACAGAAAGTTGGCAAGGGCTTGGCATGAGGCTGAAGCACAGAGCTCTGTACCCTTCCTCTGTGAAAGGTGGCGCGAAAGGGCAACGGAAGCTGCACTTACTCTGACAAATACCATGTTTATTTCACAAACACTGGGAAGATAGGTTGGAGTGGAGGTGGGAGACACATGTACAGCTGTGCAGTCACCATCAGCAGCCCATTCCCCACCCTGAGGATTCAGCCCAGACTGCAGTGCCTCCAAGTTGACAGCGAGAGGTCAGTGCAGGGAAGGCCCTGAACACCAAGCCCCCGAAAGGCTAAGGGGCACAGCTCCAGCTGTCCCAGGAAAACCAGCAATAAATAAGGGTGGGGCACGGCCCCACCCACACAGATCATCTAGTCACCCATCTTCACTCTCGAAGTCTGAAAAAGAAGAATGGGAGAAATCAGCCAGGGACAGAGGAATAGCTAAGACAGTGACCATGACAAGATCGGACCCTGCAACCCCATGACCGAACAGACAGACAACAGCAGACGAGCAGAGCAGGACAGACAGACAAAGAGGGACTGCTGAGTCACACTGTGGAAGAGACGGAGAGAAACGGCATACAGACTGTGCAAACAAGAGCCAGTCAAGAACCCTGAGTCACATTATAACAGACCCTTGGGTTGATCTTTAGTTACAAACCCACAAACCGCCAGGTAGACAAGATGACATGAAACAATTCAGACATGCTGTCCTACTGATAGGCATGTCACAGATAGATACATGTAGGCCCTGAGAGACACAAACACATCAAGACAGACGGACATAGATAAGATCTCAAACCAGCCTAGACCACAAAGGCATCATGTGTTTCCAGAGACAGTAGACAGAAAGAGGACAGATAAGCAAAAACCAGACAAAACAGAGGAACTAAATGAGATACATACATACAAAGCGACAGAAAAAAACAGGGACAAAAACAAACAATGCTTTAAAAGAAGAAACCAAGAGATGGGCATGAGGCAGTGGGAACTTTCCAGGGTTTCTACAGTTAGGGTGAGAAGGAAAGCACTTGGGCTCCTCTAGACAGTGGGTAAACATGGGCTGGAATCAAGGACACAGAGGCTCCCCAAGGGGATCCAGTACCTGAAGGATTGCGACGATGACACCAAAGAGGCCAATGGCACTGCCAAAGATCTCCACGATGAGAATCTTTACAAAGAGGCTGGGGTTCTGAGCATCAGCCAAGGCGGCCCCACTGCCCACGATGCCCACGCAGACTCCACAGAAGAGGTTAGACAGGCCCACTGTGAGTCCAGCTCCAAACATGGAGTAGCCTGGGGAACAGAGAGGGGCTCAATGAGGCTAAGCCAGGAACAGGGGATGATGAAGACAAGAGGCCAATAGGGTCTAAAGGGGACAATTCCCAACCCAATTCTGCAGAGCAGGCCAAAGTAGCTGAGAGAATCAAAATGCAAAGTCCAGGCTGGGAGGATGGAATAGGGCAGCAGGTATGAAGCCCCAGTTTTCACCTTCACACACATACCCACCTACCTGCATGGTAGTTTCGATGGCCAATGGCATGGGGTTCAGTGGCACTGAAAGGCTGAGGGAGGCAAAAGTAATTAGAAACTACTTGCTATGCAGCTGCCCCCCCAATCTCTCAGTAATGTGCAGACACACTGGAATGGATGCCCACCTGCACCAGGGTTTTCCTTACCTCAGCCATGTTGCTAATGACAATTGCCATGATGATGCCGTAGATGGCCACAGCCTCACAGAAGATGATGCTGGTAGTGATAATGGTAGAAATAAGAATAGGAAGTGGAGAAGAGAAGAGATGAGAAAGAAACCAACCTTCCTCCTCAGAGAACCCCCAGCAATCTTTCCTCAGTTCACATCTCACCCTACCACAAGGCTGGTTAGAAGCAGTATGTCATCAAACACAGGCAGTCCCCACTACAGCTGTCTGTGTGTGTGTGTGTGTGTGTGTATGTGTGGTTCTTGGGTTTTTTGGTGACAAGGTCTCGCTATGTAGTTCAGGCTGGCCTCAAACTCCTGGAGATTCTCCTGCCTCAGCCTCCCGATTGCAGGGATTATAGGCATGCACCACCACACCCAGCTTTACAGCTAGGTTTGGCACATAAACTTACCTGACCAGGTTTTTGGTCTTGATTCTAGGGGCCTTCACACCTCCACCAATGATGGAAGAGCCGGTAATATAGATGCCCCTGGTGGAAGTGAAAGGAACTCATGAGCAGAGCCCAAGCTGTCACTGCTCCCAGGATGACTAAAAACCCAGTGATACCACCTGCCGTGACTCAGTCTCTCCCCTCTGTCCCATCATCCCCAACACTTACCAGGCTGCCCCAACCACAGACAGGGAGATTGCTAGGCCAATGCCCAGGTTTGCCCACATGAAGGGGGAAGTCTCCGTCAGGAACCTGGTGTAGAAACATCGAAAAAAGCAATTCAGCTTTGGCCGGAAAGGGGGCACAAACCCTTAGCCTCCCACCCTCCCCAGCACCACCCGTTCCAGATGCAGCAACAACAGACTCCGTATCTCTCAAATATCCATGTCCTAGACAGCAGCTCTTAGTGGAGCCCTCTCTTACCATGCCACATCAAAGCGGAAGCCCAAGTCAAAAATGGTGTAGCAGATTCCTGCAGCAGTGAGAAAAAAAGTTACGGGAAACTCTCTAGTGAGAAGCTTCCCAGCCTAGAGAAGTACTGCCCAGCTCACCGTCCACCTACATCCAAGTCAAGGGACAGTCCTCAGGCTGCCTCCCCCGCTCCGCCTTCCACTTTCTGTCATTCCCTCAGTAACACAGCTCCCTCAATGACACCACGACCCAAGCCCCTCCACGGCCACGCCCTAGTAGGCCTAAATGCCCTGGAGAAAAGAAGGGAAGGAGCAGGCACTCTTTCCAGGACCCGCCGGATCCTGCTGGCCCAGTCCAAGCCACTGTTTACCCAACGAGCTGTGAATGGAGAAAAAAACCACACGAAAGAGGAACTGGAGCTGCTGGCTTGTGACCCACGCAGGCCAGCCGAGAACAAGAAAGGAACGACAGCAGGGAGATCCGAGAGACGGCGGTAAAGGAAGAACCGGGCTATTGCTGCTGTCGCGGCCCCCACCTACCGCCACCCGTGCCCCTCCTCAATCAGCTGGAGCCCTAGCCTCTTCGGTTGGAATCAGAAGCCCCAAGAGGCGGGGAGCAAGTCCGAGCCCGGGTCAGAGGACTGCGCTGGGGCCAGGTACTCCTGGTGGTCCCTTCCCCCGCGGGGCTCTAGTCCGGCCAGCTCGGGCCCAGATGCTGCCCGCGCCCGCCTGGGCCCGGCCTCACCAGCGACGAGCATGCAGGCCCAGAAGGCCACGAAGGCACCGGAGTACAGCAGTGCTAGCCCCGTCATGGCGGCGACGACGGCGGGGATCGGATCAGTGGGCACAGCTAAACCGCGCCCCTACGTCCACCGCCCGCCCCGCAGTCAGTCCGCCCGTCCTGCAGCATCACCTGATGCACGCACGTGACCCGAAAGCCGCACGTGACCCCACTCTGGGCCCTGCGCCGCTGTCGGCCTGCGCAAAGCATTGTGGTAGTTGTAGTCGCGCCTCCGGGCGGCACCAGGGGCGCCCGGTGCTTCCCACTTTTCTCCCTGGTCTCGCTGCCTAGCCTGATCTCCGGCTTCCAATCAGTGCTCATCCTTCCGCCTTCTCCCTGGCAACCAGGGAGGTGCCAGACTGCTTCCTCTGCCTCAAGCAGTCCTGTTCGTGCTCGTCCACTGCCTGGCCGCTACCTCCTGGTCCTCAGAGGCCATTCTTCCAGGATGCTTTCCCTAACACAAGACGCAGGGTGGCGGGCATGCTCTGGGCTCCCACGACGCTCGCTGGTGAGCCTTGTAAAATTTCCGTAAGGCCTCGTCACTCTCCTGTTTAAATGCCTTATGGTTCTCCTTTCACTCAGAATAAAAGCCAAAATTATTACATTGGCCTACTAGTGCAACTCACCACGTTCCTTATTTCCCACCCCTGGTGCTGGCGAAGGAACCCGCCACTGTTCTCCCTCTGGCTGCACAGTCCTTCTATTACTTAAACCTGCCAGCCACATCCCTACCTCAGTGCCCTTGCATGTTTCCTCTACTTCTCTGGCTCAATCTGTAACTTCCCTCGTCTTTGCTCACCTTCTTCAAAGGACTTCCTTGCCTATCCTGTTTTAATATTGTAACCCCTAATCGGGTGTCTGTATGGGATCCCACTGCCACTGGGACCTCCCTCTTCAGAGATAGCAGTGTTTCACTGTGGAGTCATTGTAAATTTGTCTCTCTTCCCAACGTTGACTGTCAGGACAAGACTGCTTAAATACAATTCACATTTGTGTTTCATGAATAAAAAGAAACAGGAGAAAAAGTATTTGGTTTATTTGAAGTTCTGTATCCTGAGAAAAAAAGTCTGAATCAGTGTAGATCAGCATTATCCAATAGAACTTTATGCAGTGATAGAAATGTCCTATACCTATGCTGTCTTCTCATTCACCTATGAGTATTTGAAATCAGTGTGACTGAGAAATTGAGCTAATCTAAATAATCTAAATAATCTGAATTTATTTATCTTTTGGTACTGGGGATTGAACTTAGGATCTTGTGCTTGCAAGGCAGGCACGGTGCCACTGAGGTAAATCCCTGGCCATAATTTGAATTTAAATATGTGTCTAGTGGCTACTGTCCTGGACAGTGTAGGTCTAGATCAGTGGTTTTCAACTAGGAGCAGTTATGGCCCCACAGGGAGCATTTGCCGAGGTCTGAAGACATTTTTGGTTGTCACAACTACAGAACACTTCTGATGTCTTGTGGGCAGAGGCTAGCGTTTCTGCTAAACATCCTGCCATACACAGGACAGCCTCCACAACAAGGAATTATCTTGTCCAAAATCTCAGCAGTGCTGATGTTGGGATACCTGGTCTGGAAGACGTAGCACCTGCCCTTTAATAAGGCCAAACCCTCAACTGCAGATCTGGAACTGGGATTGGCCACTGGTCCAGGGCTGCTCCAGAGACAGATGTGCCCAGAAGGCCTCAAGAATGTCCCTAAGCCTTTTCCTTCATCAGTCAAGCAATAAACATTTACTAAGCCAGTATGTGGTAAGCCTGATGCCAGTGCCAGGAAAGGACAGGCATGGATCTGATCTTCAATAAGGGGCTGTCTGGCTTGCCCTCTCTGTGCAGGCTCCTTCAAGGATCCTGGTGGGATGATAAGTCAGTGCTGAGAACAATAAAGGTTCTAGCAGCAACTCATAAGTTCCTCTGTGTCTCTGGCCCCACAAGGTATCAGCTGCTTCCCTCATCTTCATAGGCAATCGCAATCCCTCGTCTTCCACTCACAGCTTCTGTCACCGGTGTCTGACCCAAGCGGAGCTCCAGTCCCTGCCAGCTCCGGAAACTAAGGAATGAGGCTGTAGAGAGAGGGAGGGAGTTCAGGCAAAGTGGGCTGGACCTAAAGAAAGACTTCAGCAGGGGTAGAGACTTGCATATTTACCTGCAGGGCTGCTCTCAGCCAGCTCCAGCTGGGGCCGTGGGGTCAGGGCAGAGCATCCAGGATCATTCAATGGCCTGCAGGCAAGTGGGGGTCGGAGCTCCCCAGAAATGAGGGACACATCTGGGGCATCCCACAGCTCTGACTCAGGTGGTGGCAAGGGCACATGGAAGGGGGAGCCTGGGAGGGAGGGAGAAAGCAAATCCATACCGGCCCCACAACTCCAAGTTTCCAGCTGCCCCAAGTTCCCAACTAAGCCAGTTCCCTACAACTCACCAGGCAATAAGTCCGCATAATGTGTAAGATAGGGAGCCAGGCCTGGAGGTGGCCAGGCAGGGTTGCAGGCAGCCTCCAACTCACATGGTGTCAGTACAGGCCGGAAGAAGCTACCAGAAGGCTGTGGAGCTAGGGCACCCAGAGGACAGGCCAACAATACAAAGACATCCATCTCAGGAAAGTTGGCAAGCTTAGCAGGGGTGGGCCGTCCCAGAGCCAACACATAGCTACGTTTGCCAGCAGCCCGCGTCAGGTTCCGAAAGTGTGCCAGTGCCTCACAGTGTCGTGCCACACCCAGTGTGCCTGCCAACAGGCCTACCACACGGGCATCTCTGGCTCTCTCTACCAGATACCGTCTTCGTGCCCTTAGACGTCCAGCCCGGACACCCTCATCCTGAGTCTGTCCTGTGTCTGGGCAGCAGGAGAAGAAGGGCTGCCCTGGTGCCCACCCCAAGAGCAGCCGGCTCAGGTCTGGGTCAAGGTCAGAGTTAGGGCTAGCCTTAGAGCCCCCCACATAGAAGGCACCATATTCTTCCAGACACCTCCCTGGGGCCAGGGGGAAGTGGCGCCCAAAACACTCCAGGGGCTTAGGCTCTGGACTGGGGGACTCAGACGGTAGGGGAAGAGCTGGGCTGGAAACAATCAGGTCCTGGTATTTAGGGTGCAGGAGCATGGCCAAGGCCTCTAGAAGAGAAGAAGGTAGTGTCAGTGGTGGGGCCTGCCAAAACAGGAGACTAAATGTGACCTAAAAGCAAAGACTTGGGCCAAGCGCTCTATAGGAGTGTACTAAAATGGGAAATAAAGGCACACAACCACAAGCCCACCCTTCCTTCTTGCACAGGCATAACCCCTCACCCAGGGCGTGGGCACAGGCTGGTTCACTCAGCAGCACCATGGGCACTGTAGGGTCTGGGTTCTGCACTTCAAAGGCCTTGGCGCAGAGCTCCAAAGCCACAGAACGTTGGCCAAGGATGAAGGTGACAGGTAGCGGGCGGGCTGGGGGACTTAAGCAGGCGGTGCCAAAGTGAACAAGGGCCTGAGCTCCAGCTTGCTCAGCACCCAGTACATCCACACAGCAGCTGCAGAAGAGATACCATCAGTGAGAAGGGTCCTTACCTGGAGATGAATCACGGTCATCAATGGGAAATATGGCCAGTGAAGAAAATGGTGACATGAAAGATCTTGTCACTAAGGGGTGCAAGCACCAGGAGGGGAGTTACCATCATCATCAAAGAACGCAAACACTAGAGGAAGAAGCAGGAAAACCCCATGAGGCCTGGATACACAGACCTAGCCCACTGAAACCCGCGGTCACACCTGCCATAGGCTGTGTCTCCTAAAATAAACATCTTCGACCCTGTAGTCTCCTCCAGTCGTGCAGCCACGGCGCCTGCATCTCCCAAAAGCTGGTCAGGGAACTGCAAGGCCACCTGTAAGCATAAACCACGGAGTCAGCAAGAGCTTCACCCACCCCACCCCCACTCCCACCAAGGGCCTCTTTACAGGAAATTTTTCTGGAAGCCCCCACTCAACCTCAAGGTCCCTGGTCCCGGAAGAGCACTCTGTTCCACGGGATGAGTGGCAGGTGGCCCACGCTCTGCGGAGACTGACTCTGATTCCCCCAACCCCTTGCCCTCATGAAATCCTCCAAGATCCCCATCCTCTGGGCAACCCATCCCAAGAAGTGAATCACCACTCCTAAGTCTGCCCTCACCCGTTGACACCCTAGGTCGCGGACAAATCCAACGATTCGCTCCAGCTCGTACACTCGGTCGAGGTCAGCGAGAGGAGTGAGCAGTCCCGGGAGGCCTGCCTCCCGCTGCAGGACTGCCTCCACCGGGCTGCTGAATGGAGACTCCATGGGGCACGAATTGGAAGGCAGCAGGGGGTCCCTCTCCAGCTGGGGGACCCGCGTCTTCAGAAGCAGCCCTTCAAGGGCTCAGAATCGCTTCCTGAGGTGGACCGAGAACCACTCCATTCACTCCAACCCCTCCGAACTCTAGCATCTGCATTACTCAAGGGCCTATCCGCGGAGATTATTTCCGAGTTTGAGGCGTGACTGATTGCAACTCTACCAATCCTAAACCAGCACCGCTCCTGACCTCCAATTCCCGCCTCCAGGCCCCACAGAGAACCAATGACGGGCCGCATCCGGAGCCAGTCGGAAGTTCCGTAAGAAAGGCGCTAAGCCTCATGGATGTTGTAGTTCTTTTGGTCTCTCTCCTAGGACGCTACCTGCTCTCAGGAACAGACCCACTAAAACACTATCCCAGTGTGAGTAGCTCCTATCTGAAGCATTTCATATGTATTGCATAATTTTAGACTCACTGCCGACTGTCTTGCTTTTAATATATCGTGTTTGGCCACTTGCTGCGGAGTACTGTATCTTAGGAACGTCTCTATGCCGTTTCCTTATCCGCAGAATGGGAAGATTTAACAATGGTATGCCTTAATAGGATTGTCGCAAGGCTCAAATTAACTTATTTATGAAACTTTACAAAGTTGTTCTTTACATATCCCATTTGCTTATATCCTCACAGTGGTCTGTCAATCCAGTGAACAGTGAATATTTACTACTTTTCAAGCACCACGTTAGTCTTCTGAATAAGAATTCTCATTTTAAGAAAAAAAAAAACAGGTTTGAAGAGACTAACTAGCTGTCTAATAAGACACAGTAGGTCACTGGCACAATCAGTATCAAAAAAGCTAGGTCTCCTGATTTCAGAGGCTGGGCTTCAGAAGCCCTCATTCTCCTATCTTATATGTACTACATTTGTTGTGGTAGGAGGGGGGAGGCCTAGGAGAGAGAAGACACCCAGACACCATGCGGTAGAAAAAAGGGACTAAAATATGTGAAACATCTCCACATATGCCAGAAATGAGAACTGAAGAGTAAGGTGAGAATGGGACTGACGATTAGAAGGGGGAGAGTGGCTTTCATGGGATGAGATGATGGGGAGACTGATGCCAGCTGGCATGGGAGGTTGAATGAGAAAGAGTGGAAGACTCCGGATTCACGCAGAGGTTAGAAAAAGAACAGGGAAGACATGAGTTTAGTCAGGATAGGGTCCCTGAGGGGCAGTCTGGGTGAAATTATGGCTAAGGAGACAGAAAAGAAAGCAACCCTGGGGCGGGGATTTAGCTCAGTGGTTTTGCCGTTGCGCAAGCGCAAGGACCCGAGTTCAATCCCGGGTACCAAAAAAAAAATAAAAAAAAAGAAAGCAACCCTGCTAAAGGAGGAAAACAAGAGCAGGCCCGGAGCTGTCCCTGGTCCTGACTGAGCTCTGCTGTTCGCGAGGGGATTTAGCTCAGTGGTTTTGCCGTTGCGCAAGCGCAAGGACCCGAGTTCAATCCCGGGTACCAAAAAAAAAAAAAAAAAAAAGAAAGCAACCCTGCTAAAGGAGGAAAACAAGAGCAGGCCCGGAGCTGTCCCTGGTCCTGACTGAGCTCTGCTGTTCGCGAGGGAGGTCCCTAGAAATGGAAAGTGATGGATACACAGGAAACACACGGTCTTGCCCTCCTCCTCCTCTGTGAGCTGCAATGCCTTCTCTCCCATCCCCCCCCCCAACCTCCTTCTCACAGGTACACTTTCTATAGCCCTCCTCAACCATGTGCATGCTTGAGTGCTTTAAAATCTCACATCAGACACCCATCCTGGAACCTAAAGCCCCATTCTATTTCTTCCTTCCCAAGTGGGCCCAGCCCAAGGCCCCATCCTGTATTTAGGATGCTTCCTATTCCCATCAAAGACAAAGCTTCCTCTACACAGCCTCTCCTCTCCCCTTCTAGTTTATCATGGTAGCTCTGGACCAGACAGCCTTTGTTTAGGGAAGAGCTAGGGACTAATACTCAACATTTTTGTTTAAATGTAAACATGTATGCACATTGAGACTAATTTAATAGGGGCAAGGGGATTGCTAATACTACTGCAGCCACCTACCCTTACTCCAAGGGCAATGGCAGAACTCTAAATGGCTCCAGCCTAGGCAGCTCAGCTATAGCTGTTCCTCTCCCACTGCAGAAGGTAGGATGTATCCCCACCATTCCTTTTTGTTTTTTTAGACAGGGTCTCCCTTTGTAGTTCAGGCTGGCCCTGAACTCACTACATAGCCCAGGCTGGCCTCAAACTCACAGTGATCCTCCTGCCTCAGCCTCCTGAGTGCTGGGATTACAGGAATGCGCCACCCCACCCAGCATCCCCACCATTCTTGACCAAGGCCTGGGTCCAAACACTGCCCCCTCATCTTTTTCCCAGGCTTCTGGACCCAGCCTTTCAGTTAGGGGGTGGTGGCAGCAGAAAGGAAGCAGTCAGTAGTGAGGGTACAGGTTTACTCTTTGGGGATAGGAAAGAATGAGGGGAATGGGTGTGGGACAGGGGTGCCCCTCAGTAGTCAGCTGTGTAATCTGTGCCATGTAGCCCCCGGCACAAAAGTGTGAACTCCTTCACCATCTCCTTCACCCGCCTCTTGTTCATTCGCTCACTGAAGGAGGGAAGGGAGAATAGGTTAGCATCATCCACCAACACTTCCACCTCCTCCCTACCAGAGCCCAGACCCAGCCCAGCTCTGCTCACCGGAGGATCTGCTGACTGAAGGTGTCCTTCTGTTCAGGGCTGAGGCGGGCAGAGGGAAAACCAGGTGGTTGCAATGCCTCCTTGATCCACATGCTCAGGAGACTGAAGCAGTGTTTGTTCAGGGCGAAGAGGATATCGGCAAAGCAGTCCATGAGGCTTCGGGAGGCCTGGCCCCCAATGGCCTGAGGGAGAGGGCTTCTTAGTACATCAAGGCCTTGCTTCTTCTGCAACAAGGAGACTTAACTATGCCCCAGGCTCTCTGGGACAGTTCTGCAGCCAAACTATCAAAGTAAGCAATGCTTTCTGAGCACTAGCTGATCCTCAGGGCAACCCTAACGCCTTCCATTTAATTGAGGAAGCTATAAAACCCAAGAGCTTAGGGAACCAAAGGCTCAAGCCTCCCAGAAAGCCAGCTGCCTCAGCAGTAAGGGCCTTCCCACCCCTATCAACACCCACTTGCTCTGCTCACCTCCAGCACTGCTATGAGCAGCATACGACCATCCTCCTGTACCACCTTTCCCACGGATTGTACTTCCCCACACCGAGGCAACAGCTCTGTCTGGAGAGGATGGAGAGGTGTGTTAGCCCTAGCTCCTTCCCACCTCTCCCTATGGACGAGACCTGCACACTACACCCTACCCTCTGAAGTTCTGGGCAGAGCAGGGCAGGGGGATACAGGTCTGCATGAGACTCACAAAGAAGCCACAGGAGGCCTTGACAGTAGGTGCCTCGGGGAACTTGAGGGCCAGTACAGCTGTGGGAGAGGTAGAGGCAGATCAGATGGGGCCCAAGGATCCTCCCAGGGGAGCCCTAGGCCCACATGTCCACCTGGTCCCACTTACCACACTGGAATACAGCTTTGACATCCAGTCGTTCACACAGGAACAAATCTGGCTTCCGCTTCAAAGCCTGTAGGAGGTGGAGCTGGTAAGCCCAGCCCCAGCCAGCTCCAGGGACTATCCCCCCCATTCATCTGCCACCCCATCCCCTAACTTCACATATCACAGGTAGAGGTTGCCACCCAGACATCCCTGGGGGACCCTGACAACCCCAAAATTCAGTTGGTCAGGGAAGGAGCAGCCCAAGAGATGCTATGTACACGTATGTGTACATGAATGCATAGGTGTGTGTGACAGGGGCTAGGGGTGGGGATCATAATGTAGAAAATGTGAGTCCCACGTCACTCTTTGAGCAAACACCTTTCCCTCTCTCCTCCATCAGGGACAGTCCTCCTGCCACCAGTGACTATTGCTATGATTCAAAGGAAGTCAAGGCCTCTGGGCTTGTGAACAGGGCAGCAGGAAGAAGAGACAGCAGCTGGTCACAGAGCCCCCGGCCCAACAGGCCCCTTCCCATGTCCTGCCTGTGTTCCTCAGGCACCCACCAGCTCCTGCTCAAGAGTATGAAAACAGGGCAGGAGCCTTGGGGCCACGGCCCCATCTTTTGCCCAGGATACCCTGTGTATAGGGCCTTCTCAGCCATACCCACCCTAGGAGCCAGTGCTACCACCGGGGGTGGGAGAGTGGAGTAGAGACACCATGTACCAGGACATGACTGGCACATCCTCAGGTCACAGGAGATGTTTGGCACAGCTCCAGCAGTCCTCAAACACTGCTGTTCCCCAGCAATGCCCCCAGCTCACACCACGTGAACCCCCACCCTATAATCCCTCACATATCTTCTACCCCATGTTTATTATTGTGCAAACACTCTGACACGCACCCTCACTTGAAATGCCCTATTCACACCTCTATCATACCCCTTACATACACACTTTCCCACACCTACAGCACACCCTCACTATATAGTCACACACCCAAACACTCCTATATCTCAAACCACCCACACCCACAGTTTCTCTACACATTCTCCTCCAGCACATATACACTCTCCTAACACACTCACAAATATACAAATACCCTCCCCACTGAAGATACAACCTTGCAGATACCCACACACATTTCCATTCAGGCCCAGAACACTCCCTGTTCCTCACTTTTCCCACCCACCTCCAACTAGACTGTAAGTTGCAGGACAGCAAGAACCATTTTATCTTCAGCATCTAGCAGAACACCACGCATGTATTATGTAATAAATATCACAGAATGACTAAGCAGAGAAACACTTCATTTACCCCACCTCACAGGATCTCCCCGACTCAGAGAACCCTTCATCACACTAACTCCATACTCACAGCCCAACGTGTGCACCTGCCAAGCCACGCTCACTCTAATCTAGACAAATCAACACCAATACACATACTCCTATCCATTAAAACACACTTCCACAGACCCCACACACACTTCCGAAACATATCCATGCTCAACACCCATCAGTGCCTAACACATTGACAAACAACACAAAACACACAACACACATCAGTGTACAACATGCATCAATGCACATGCCCACACTTCAATGTCACATTTATCTTAATGCCCAACATGATACATGAACTACTTATAACAGGTGATTTCTGTTCCCT